CTGGTGACCAATAAGAAGAGAATAAAATGGATAATAACGGAGCCAAATGTTGCATTTGTCACTCGGCCTACCTATTTATTCATATATTATTCACCGTATTTAACTTTAGCAAATCTTGTAAAATATCGGATTGGAAAATACAAAAAATTTGTTCTTGAAATAAAATGAAATGAAAAAAAAACCAAAACAAATTGTTTAAATTGTTTATTCTCAAAAATAAATAATTAATATAAAGGATTTATTTATTAATTAGAAGAATTTGACGCTATCCTACTAAATTTCTAACAATACATATGGGACACAAATGGTAATTTCTAAGACACTGGGAGGGGAGAGAAAGAGAGGTTAATGTCTACATAACACATAGGACTAACTTGGTCCAATTTTATTTCAATAATTGGCTTGCGGATAAGAGTCTAGAGAAATGAGAGGAAAATAGAGGACCCGGAGAAAACCCACGAGGTTGGACAGGCGACTCTACTCCTTTTCAGCTAGGGTTGCCAGTCCAACCTCGTCGGTTTTCTCCGGGTCTTCCGGTTTCCTCCCACTGCTAAAGATCCCCACGAGCAAACAAAGTATTGAAATAAAATTGAACCATGTGTTAGTCCTGAAATGACCTAGTTTGTGTCAAGTGGACGTTAAACCCCATTTCATTTTGTCTTAAATATTGGAGATCAGAAGCCCATCTTTTCATGGTAAGATAACAACACCAATTTTGATTTAAATTGACCAATAAGTCGTTTTTGCATTGTTGAAGACTGTGGATGATATTGTGTTAAAGACTTTCCTCCTTTATTATCGGAGTTGCAGAACATAGATTGTTGCCTTTATAAGACTATCAGAGTTGCAGGACTTAAGATTGTCATCTTCATTATAACCCCGTCAGATCGAGGTGGCATCCTTACTGCGACGCTACAGCGACAGAAAATGGTCGCAGAGCCCGTCAAGATCTCCATAACCATGGTGGAAAGGCCTGATATCGTGCTATGGTCTCGGCAATGCTCGCTGAGTCACGGTGTTTGTTTTGAGCATGTTCAAAACAAACGCCAAGGTTCTGCGATCTGACCTGGAAAGCTGTAAGAACTTTTTTCAAGTTTGTAATTTTTGGGGGACATTTTCTCGCGTTGTGTTCACGTTTGCCGACGACCTTGTGCATTTTCTAGTCACTGTACGGTCACAACAGCACAGTAGGGACGCCACCCTGGTCTGACTATTGGCTGTTTCAGGACATAGATTGTCATCTTCATAAGACTATTGGCTGTTGCAGGACATAAGATTGCTATCTTTATAAGAATATTAAAGACGATCATTGCCAACCCCTATGCTTTTGTTATTTGTCATTTATTTTGTCAGAGTATTTCTGTCTTCGTTAATTCCAACTTGGGACATATAATAAGTAAAAGTTTCAAAAGGTGGCAGTGTGACGGCTTTGAGAACTTAAGGAGGATTTCAATACCATTAAATTAAGCATTAAATGTAGGATAATGAAATGGAAAATCTCCAAACGATAGAAAACCTTTCAAATAGATCTCTTTGGTTAAAGATATAATCCCATTTAATGTCTTCAGCCAGGCAAAAATAAGCAAGCGACGATATTTCAGCCATTGATAATCAGGTTAACAAACTCAGGCTGTAACACAATAAGGATTATGGGTAATGTATCTTATCCCCGACAATCCGCTAAATTAATAATCGTTCTAGGTTATTTCCTTCTACAAGGTCTATTCAATCCAACTTAGGTGCTGTTGTCTTCGCCTTTTGTTTTCCTTCAGATTAGACTTCAGTTTCCAGGGTATTCAAAACTTTACCGTATTTTATAGAATTAATGCTTATTCCGTGTTTTCATGGTATTTAAAGGTAGAATATTTACCGTATTTCATAGAATTAATGCTCAGTGCATGTTTTCATGGTTTTAAAAGGTAGAATATTAACCAGATTTCACAGAATTAATGCTCACTCCCTGCTTTTAGAATCTGTCTTTTTCCGTGGTATTAAAAGCTAGAATTTTTACCATATTTCAGTGAATTAATGTTCACTAGCAACTTTTGAAAATTTTCCTTTTCCATGGTATTAAAAGGTAGAATTTTTACAATTTTTCGTAGAATTAATGTTTACTGACTGTTTGTTTTAGAACGATCTTGAGCGGATTTGACAGAATTAATGTTCACTGCCTGCTATTAGAACATTTCTGTTTCCATGGTATTGAAGAGAATGTTTAGCGTATCTGATCACTTTTACCAATATTCAGATGATTAACTACACTCAACACAATAATTCGCTTGTGCGTAGTACCGGTCTTTAGCATTTGTAGGAAACCAGAGGACCCAAATAAAAACCCATGAGGTTAGACAGGTGACCCTACTCCTTGTAACGTACAAGTGTGGGATTAAAACCGTGCCACCCACCTCAAATGCCTCATCAAAAAAATTATCTGCCCCGAGTTCACAAAGCATTCTCAGACATAAGTTAAGAATTTACTCAGAATTGCTCGCCATATTTTAAAGATATATTATGTAAGATTTAGATAAAGAGCTAGCAATTCTTGCTATAATAGTTTGAAAATAGATAATGTAAAATAAATAATTTGAAAATTTCATAGCAGACGGTATGCCATATCCCCGTCTTCATTAGCCCAGTCGGTGCAGAACAGTAGGACGTTAAACCCCATTTCATTTCATATTTCCACTATATACATGATAAATAATTATAAAACCATACATGAATGTCACTGACAAGAAAATAAGTAAGATATCTACTAATTGTTGGGGCTAAATAATCAGCCCAAAACCACTAAACAGAGAGAGAGAGAGAAATGGGGTTTAACGTCCACTCGACACAAACTAGGTCATTTCGGGACTAACATATGGTTTAAATTTATTTCAATAATTCGCTTGCGCATAGGGGTCTTTAGCAGTGGGAGGAAACCGGAGGACCCGGAGAAAACCCATGAGGTTGGACAGGAGACCCTACTCCTTGTCACGTACAACTGGGGATTCGAAACCACGCCAGTCGACTCAATGACAGACTTTATGATACAGCGCGCGCACGCTAACTATTCAGCCATCCAACCCCCCACCACTCAACAGACACCGGTCTGAAATATAATACCGATCTGGGATATCTGACCCAACATAAAACACCAAACACATTACTTTTTGTGATGAGAGTAATTAACATTTAAAATGTAAGATTTCAAAATATAATGTTTTATAAATAAGCTAAAAATACATTTAAAGTAGCTAAGTCTCTAACTCAAAACCATACAAAGTCTTACACATTGAAAACACGAATTATTTGTCAATTCAAATCAACATTGATGCTGTAATCTTACCGGGAAAAGGTAGGCTTCTGATATGCAATATTTAAGACAAAATAAACATTTTAACATTGGTACACGAATCGTGTACCATAGTACGTTTCATCGTCATTTGAAACAAGTGACCAGACAGAGCGAGGCTAGAAATATTCCACAACTCATGTCATATGGCATGCAGAATAGACTGGAATAACCAGACGCTAGAAATTTCTATTCGGTTGAGACTCATGCCATATTTCATTGGATCTAACTGTTTTGAAATAAGAGTCAAAACGGAAACAATTGAATGTAAATCAGTTCATATACAATCAGATTACATTATTATATGCGTTGCGACCCATTTGGGTCAATTTCTAGGTCCCAAATATTAGCGATTTAGCTCCTTTAAATATATTTCAAGATAATATGTTTTAGGAATAATACAGGAAAGTAGTGGGGTTTTCTAAAAGCAAATTAAAGCAGTAATATAATTGCAAAAATAGATAAAAAATAGGTAATGTAAAGAGAATATGTAGAAAATTCCAAATTACTTCACTCTGAGCCGAGAAAACCTCTTTTCAAAAACACTGTAGCCTCTATTGTCATTGCCTCATTGTTACTGTTGCTATGATAATAAACAAAGTCTCGATTATCCACTTTTACTGTTTATCATCAATCACAATTGAACTGCACATATTATTCAAATCTGTTTAAAATCAGATGGCATCAAGAATTGTTTATGACCATGTCTAATTAATAAATGTCTTCTTAATAATTTATAAAACATTTAAGGCCTAAAGAAAGACCAGAAATAAGCAGATTTAGCTCTGGCATAATGCCTGTTTAAATGAAAACAATAAATGTTATTAAAAAAAATTTAAGCTGAATTTTTACTACATCATTATTTTAATTTCCAAAAGCAAATTAAATGAAAAAAAATTCAAATCTGTTTAAAATCAGATGGCATTACGAGTTGTTTATGGCCATGTCATGTTCATTAATGCCTAATTAATGAATCTAGACAACATTTAAGGCATAATGCCTGTTTGAATGAAAACAATAAATGTTATTAAACAAATTTAATCTGAATTTTTACTACATCATTATTATAATTTTCAAAAGCAAATTAAATGAAAAAAATGAATTTTTGAGCTGGGTTATTAAAAGAAATTAACTCATAATTTTTACTATATTTATAAATAATTTCCAAAAGCAAATCAAATGAAAAAAATTAATTTTTATGATAAATTATTAAAAAGATTAAATCAACATATAAGATTTAAAAAAAAATATGTTTTAGAAATAAACAGAATTTTTAGTACATTATCATTATAAATAAATACACATTTGTTCTGTACAAAATGTTTATTTTGTATAATTTTGTTACAAAGTTAGTAATATTGATATTTTTAGTGATAATGTTAAAAATATTGACTGTTTTGACTGTGTTTTTTATACTAAAAGGCAGTTAATTGGAAAATTGATGAGAGGTATGGATTGAGAACCGGGTAATAAATCTATATGCTTGTGTAATGCATGGGGGTAGAAAGCTCAGCACAATTTTGTCAATATTTTGTGGGGAAAAATATTGACTTGTTTCACCATTGTGTTATACCACCATAATTGTCGGCCATGTTTTGGTTGTCAATTTTATTGATAGGAATACAGTCGGTTTATTCGGTTGGTTTTATTTTATATCTTGCAGCAACAGTCCGAAAGATGATAATCGTATCCTCGCGTCTGCCTTGTCAAAATCAGGGAAATATTTGGCTGTAGCAGACGACAGAAAGTACCTCCATTTATACACAACTGATGATGGCTGCCTGATTTCTTCGAGGTAGGTGTAACAATAATTGACCTCTGTAGAATAGTGACCTTTAAGATAGTGATGGAGAGAATGTCAGTTGTTGTCTGTCATGTCGTTTGCCTAGTTTAATGTTGTCTTAGAATCACTGTTTTAATGGTGATTGTGGATGAATTATCCATTCATTTATAATAGTGACAGATGTAATGCCTGAGGCAGGGTAGGCTTATGATTTCTAGAACACCCAATACCAATGCTCATCCGTTTAATGTCATCTTAGAATCACTGTTTTATTGTAAATTGGGGATAAACTAGCTATCCATTTATTAATAGATATGAATTGATGGATGTAGTGACTGGGACAGAGTATTCTTACTCTTGCTTGAAGACCTGATACCACTTCTCCTTCATTTAATATCATCTTAGAATCACTGTTTTATTGTAAATTGGGGATAAACTAGCTATCTGTGTACATGTATATAAATATGAACTGATGGATGTAGTGACTGTTACAGGGTATGCTTACTCTTCTTTGAAGACCTGATACCACTTCTCTTTGGTTTAATATCATCTTAGCATGACTGTTTTATTGTTGAATTGGGACAAACCTGCTATTTATAAAAATATGCCGGTAAATAATGACAGGTGTAGTGCATGAGACAGGGTATCATTATTCTTTCCAGAACAATTGATATCTCTTCTCATTCATTTCTGATACTTTCTGTTCTAATTTTGTGTTTTTGTTGATTGGTAGTAAATAGATATTTTGTCTGGACAACAAGACCATATGTTAGTCCCCAAATAATGTAACTATAAATGTTAGGCCTTAATTCTAATCAGGTTAGTCATTGTATGTAAAGAAGATCCTTGCCTTTCCTTGTCTCCCCTTACTCCCTCCTCCGGTGCGTCTAAGTCTCCCACCGTGTTTACCATCATGTATCCACCCTCCTCCCCCACTTAGTCCTTCCGATGAGACGAAAAACCGAGGTCCCATGTATACATTAGAATGCACATAAAAGATCCCTTGGCAGTTGAAATTCGATATAAGAGTAGGCGATAGTGCTGCTGCCCGGGCAAAATTTACCTCATAGCACACTGTATGGCGTATGCCAGTCTTCATTAGCCCAGCATAGGAGCAGAACAGTAGGACGTTAAACCCCATTTCATTTCATTTCCTCCCCCACTGCTGAATGGTCTACTTATTCTAAGTACTATACTAACGTCCAAAAGAAAGTATACACTGTGCATTTTGTGCTGCATCAACCAAAGTCGTTTTTCCATGGTATACGGTATTAGGCTAGAATGTCAATTTGTTTCACATTTTTATTTTGCTTAGAAATGTTGAGTTTGGACGCAAAAGACAAACTCAGTAATGCTTTATCAAATGTTTTTAATCTAAACAAAACTTAGTCATACTTTTAGTGTGTATACTTTCTTTTGGACATCAGTATAGATGTGTTAGTGTCCTACCTGTTGTGTAAATTATCCATTAAATCCTATTTTACTTGTCCAAAGGGTTCAAAAATATTTTTAAAGCCAAGTCACATTTGAAAAGCTTTACGTCAGGCTTTTCAAATCATTTAGTTGCATTTTTCCAATTTTTTAAATTAGATGTGTGAACATGAAATTTGTATCATCAATTAATTGGAATATTGTAAAATAGTACAATTTGTTGACCAGAATAAAGATTGGGACATATTATTCAGTTACAACAAGAGTGGTATTGAGCCTTTAAGTACAAGTAAAATGGATAACAAGGCGTAAGGTCACCTGTCCAACCTCGTAGGTTTTCTCTGGGTCCTCAAGTTTCTTCCCATTGCTAAAGACCCCTATGCACAAGTGAATCATATGAATAAAACTATACTGTGTTAGTCCTGAAATGACCTAGTAAGTGTAGAGTGGATTTTAAACACCATTGTTCTGTCTCTCTCTCTGTATTTCTGTCTGTCTGGCTATACCTCCCTACTCTTTTTCAAACATTTTAGTACAAGTAAAATGGATAACAAGGGGGAAGGTCCTCTGTCCAAACACATGTTTTAAACCCCATTGCTCTCTCTCCTGTCCAACCCCATGGGTTTTCTCTGGGTCCTCCGGTTTCCTCCCACTGCTAAAGACCCCTATGCACAAGCAAATTATTGAAGTAAAATTGAACGAAATGTTAGTCTCTCTCTCTCTCTCTCTCTCTCTCTCTCTCTCTCTCTCTCTAGTTATGCCTCCCCTACTCTTTCAAATGTTTTAGTACAAGTTAAATGGATAAAAAGGTGTAAGGTAGCCTGTCCAACCTCATGGGTTTTCTATGGGTCCTCTGGTTTCCCCTAACTGCTAAAGACAACTATGCGCAAATTATACCATATATTAGTCCCAAAATGACCTAGTTAGTGTTGAGTGGATTTTAAACCCCATTACTCTCTCTCTCCTCTCTCTCTCTCTCCCTCTCTCTCTCTCCCTCTCTCTCTCTTTCTCTCTCTCTCTCCCTCTCTCTATGTCTCCCCTACTCTCTTTCAAACGTTTTAGCCCAAGTAAAGTGGATAATAAGGAGAGGTTTTTCTGGTTGGTGGAGTGAAACAAGTTGTAGCTAAGGGGTAGCTGTATAAATACAATAGCTGGGTATTATTAGTGTGAATCGTAAAGACGAGCGGACCAACAGCAATGTTTGAACATGTGATTACTCATCTCCTATCTTTTACCATAAGCAAATTAAACATGGGAAATTCCACCAAATTAACAGCAGGCCAGGCTGATTTAAAGCAATTTTATGCGTGGAGATATCGTCCAACATGGTTAGCATTCCAAGCTTCTGATATCATCCAAGACATTCATAATTATTATTTAAAAAATACTAAATACTGAGCAGCATAAAAATGCAATCATTTCGAACTGATGCTAAAATAATGGCATATGAATTATATTTAATTTGAAATAGTAATATTATTGTTAATTTATAAAAAAATCACCCACATAAAATGAAATGGGATTTAACGTTTTCCAATTCTGCTCCAACTAAGCATATTCCATACAGTGTGCTATAAGGGAAATGGTTTACATATGTGGGTTGGATTAGTAGGTCTGTCATTGAGTCAAGTGGCATGGTTTCAATTCCCCCGCTTGTGGATTTTCTCAGGGTACTCCGATATCCTCCCACTGCTAAAGACTTCATCACGCAAGCGAATTATTTAAATAAAATTGAACCATATGTTGGTCCCAAAATGACCCAGTTTGGGTCGAGTGGACGTTAAACCCTCTCTGTAATTGTGTTAGTCAATCTTTACTGTCAGTAAATTCTGAAAATGAGTCAATAGTGGGAAAGTGCACGTACGTACTACCTTATATGTACAGATGCACGTGCATGGGGATCACGTGGCTAAGTGGGTAAGACGCTGGCTCGCTGGCCTGGAGGTCGGGTGTTCGATCCCTGCATTGGCCGAGAAAGTTCATCCAGATTTTCCGGCGTGGTTTCCCCTTGTCAGTGATGCAGGACAGAGGGTCTGACAAGGACAGCTGTCTAGTCGTTCGGATGGGATGAAAAACCGAGGTCCCATGTACACATTGGCGTGCACGTAAAAGATCCCTTGGCAGTTAGAATTCGATATTAGAGTAGGCCGTAGCGCCGCTGCCCGGGCAAAATTTCCCTCATAGCACACTGTATGGCGTATGCCCGTCTTCATTAGCCCAGTTTAGGAGCAAAACAGTAGGAAGTTAAACCCCATTTCATTTCATTTCATGAGTTTATATCTATATTGAATTGTGTTAGACGGATCAAAGACTCTTAAAGGGAATACATTTCACAGTTGATGCTCAGATTATAAAATAAAAATAAATTGAAGTATGTTTGTAATTGTGTGTAGGTACTGTTTAGAAGATAGTAAATTTATTTCTAGATATATTTTATTACCACAATGTCTAGTGTTTATTGCAGTGAACGATATATTGTTTAATATTTAGGAATGCAGTTTGTACTGACTTCCACCCTGTGTCTGTTTGAATGTAACTGGTTGAGTATATTGAAATATTACACAAGGACGTTAATGGCAGCTTTGTTATTTAATTGCTATTTAAACAATGAGTATTCATAGTGTATATAATAGAATACTGATCTGTAATGGAACGTAAGTAATTCGTATGTCACGGTATAAGTTGTACAGGTACAGATTCATAATCAAGATCATTGTTGTTAGGTTACTACGGTGATAGATGTGATGCACAGTCAATCATACTGGAAGTCAACTTGTACATTTACTTTAAGGAGTCACAGTGACTCAGTGACATGAAATGAAATAATATAGGGTTTAATGTCCTACTGTTCTTCTCCGACTGGGCTAATGAAGACGGGCATATGCCATACGGTGTGTTATGAGGGAAATTTTGCCCGGACAGCGGCGCTATTGCCTACTCTATATCAAATTCCAGCTGCCAAGGGATCTTTTATGTGTATGCCAATGTGTACATGCGACCTCATTTTTTTGTCCCATCCGAATGGCTAGACAGCTGTCCCTGTCAGGCCCTCAGTGACCTAGACATTAACTCATTAGCTAGGAGATCCCGGGTTCTCAATTCTATAACTGGAGGTTGGATGGGAGAGAGAGAGAGAAATGGGGTTTAACGTCCACTCGATACAAACTAGGTCATCCCCGAGGTTGGATGGCTGAATGGTTAGCACGTGCGCACTGTATCATAAAGTCTGTCATTGAGTCAACTTGCAGGGTTTTGATTCCCCGGTTGTACGTGACAAGGAGTAGGGTCGCCTCTCTAACCTGGTGGGTTTTCTCCGGGTCCTCCAGTTTCCTCCCACTGCTAAAGACCCCTACAGTCAATCGAATTAAGGAAATAAAATTGAATCGATATGTTAGTCCCGAAATGACCTAGTTTGTGTCGAATGGATGTTAAACCACATTAAGTGGACATTAAACCCCAATTCTCTCTCTCTCTCTCTCTCTCTCTCTCTCTCTCCTATATTGCTGGAAGCCAAGTTTAAAACCATGGTCATTTGTGCAATTACTATACGGATTCATAGTGGCTCAGTGATTGAGGCGCTA